GCATAACAAGTGATTGCAAAAACCATGGCCTATATCAGACGCACCTTAGTCTCCAGAGAGACACCACAATTTGCTTAGAATGCTAAAACTAGTAAGTGATGGTGCCAGGATTAGAACCTAGACTCATGTGACTCCAAAAAAAATGATCTTTCCAGATTTCCCCCACTGAGACTACTGAATGATCATTCCTGAATGGTGAAATAAAAATGAAGATACATACCCAGGTATTGTGCACTCACCTTTGATTGCAGCCCAGTGAAGTGGGGTCCGGTCATTCCAGTCCACGTCCTTGTAGTTTGGGTCACAGAGACCTTTCTTCAAAATCCTTTTCACTAACTTGTAGTCCCCTGCTGCCACAGCTTGATGGAGCTTTGTCATGTCTGACATTTTGGTCAATTCCATGGCAAAATACCGCTATAAGAGAGAACTGTTACTTGGGCAATGATTAAAAAAAAAGTTTTTCTTAGTTCATTGTTGTGGAGACTTCTTTCTACATCACTGATTTTCTTTCTGGTCTCAAGAATTTGCCCCCCGAATTTGCCTTAAGTGAGTTATCTGCTGATTGTAAGTTTAGATTTTAGTTACTGTGGTTGTACAGGATGCAGAGCACAAGCTCCATGCCTATTAAATCCTATTTCAAAACCATCTCAGGACAAGTTTGAGGCTTTGAATGCTAATGAACCAAGACCAGAGGAGCTACCAAGAATATCATCCATTGAGTGGAGGGATGGATGGGTAATCAAAAGGGGAAAGACTCAATGTGAAATAAATATGTAAAAAAAAAAATTTTATAAACTTTGTATGTAAACCAGGATTAAAAAAAATATTGTAGGATGAATATGAGGATCCAAGGGAAGGAGGACGGAAGCAGAGGGATGAGGATGACAGGGTCATCCAATTTAATGTGGGGAGCTTAAGGAAATGGGAAAGATTTGGTGTGAAAAACAATACATTCAAACTTTGTAAATAAACCAGTTTATTTTAAAAAAAAAGTATCATCCATGAAGAATGCAAAAGGTCATTATAAAGACAGTGAAGGAAGAAAAGACCAAAATAGGTGTCAGAAGAGACTCTGAATATTGCATTAGAGCACCAAGAAGCCAAAGCAAAGGGTGGGGATGGGATGGGATGGGATGGGATCAAAAAGTTATGGAGATGAATAGGAGATTTCAAAGGGCAGCTGGGAAGACAAAGCAAAATATTATCATGAAATGTGAAAGAACTGGAGTCAGAAAATCAAAAGGTCAAATACAATATTTGTCCTTATGTGACTGAATTAGTTCACTTAGCATAATGCTTTCTAGTTCCTCCCAAGTTAGGTAGTAATTTACAAAATCCTTGCTCCTGTGTGCTGCATAGTATTCCATTGTTTCAATGTACCATAAAATGGGGGTGGGGGGTGGCTTAATCATAGGGTCACACAATTTTAAGGGTAGAGGGAGGGATGGGTAAAGAAAAGGGGAAAAATCTGGTGTGAAGAACAATATATAAAAACTTTATAAGTAAACCAGTATAAAATAAAATTTTAAAAAATAAATTAAAAAAATCAAAAGAGATGAACTCGCTTAGCATTCCTTAAGCTAAAGGAATTCAAGAACAAATTCAAGCCTTGAGTTGCAATACTTAAGGATGCTGTTGGCAAAATGTAGAATGACTCAGGCAACACCGAAAGAAAATGCATACACAGTCACTGTACCAAAAATAACTGGCTGGCACGGAAGAATTTCATGAAACAATATACAATCAAGGACCAAAGCTTATGAAAGAGGAAGTTCAAGCTAAATCTGAAGGAATTGGTAAAAAAACAAAGCCCCAGGAGCTTATGAAATACAAATTGACATATTTCAACAGATGCAACCCTGAATACTCTCACTAGGCTGTGCCAAGAAATCTGGAAGGCAACTACCTGTCCAACTGACAGGAAGATATCCATTTTCATTCCCGTTCAAAAATTAAGGTGATCTGACCAAGTGTGGAAATTATCAAACAAGATCACTAATATCCCATGTAAGCAAGATTCGGCTGAAGATTATCCAAAAATGATTGGAATAGTACACCGATAGAGAACTGCCCAATGTGAAAGTGGAGTTTAAAAAAGGTCACGGAATTAAGGACATTATAGCCAATTTTAGATTAATCTTAGCTGGAAGGAGAGATTGCCAGAGGAATGTCTATGTTTCATTGACTATGCAAAAGCATTTGATTGTGTGGATCACAACAAATGGTGGCTAACTTTGAGAAGAATGGAAATCTCAGAACACTTAATTGTGCTTATGTGAAGCCTATCTTGGGATCAGGAAGCAGTCATCAGAACAGAGCAAGGAAATACTGCATGGTTGAAACCCAGAAAAGACGTAGTCAGGGATGCATCCTATCTCCCTACTTTCTCAATCCATACTTGGAAGAGATCCTTCAGAAATCTGTACTTTATGATAAGGAATGTGGTATCAGGATTGGAGGAAGGCTCATCAAAAATCTGTGCTATGAAGATAACACAACCTTATTTGCTGAAACTGAGGTGTACCTGAGGCATTTGCAGCAGAAGGTCGAGAACTACAGCCTTCATTATGAATTGAAGTTCAACATCAAGAAAACAAAGATTCTCACCACTGGGCCAATTGACAGCATCATGATAGATGGAGAAGAGATTGAGATTGTTAACAATTTCATCTCACTTGGATCCATAGTCAACACTTGTGGCACCGGCAGCCAGGAAATCAAAAGATACATTGTACGGGGAAAAATCTGCTCACAGGAACCTCTCCAGAGTGCTGAAGAGCAATGATGTCAGTCTAGAGACTAAGATGTTCCTGATTCAAGCCACAGTCTTCACAAGTACTTGCTATGTATCAAAGAGCTGGACAATGACTAAGGATGACAAGAAGAACTGATGCCTTTTGAGAGATGGTGCTGGAAGAGAGTAGTGATCATACCACAGACTGCCAAGAAAACAAACAAGTCTGTTTGGAAAGGGTAAAACCAGGCTACTACATGGAGGCAAGGATTTTGAAACTCTATCTCACTTTACGTATGTTGCCAGGAGGGACCAGTACTTGGAGAAGATCATCATGCTTGGAAAGGTGGAAGGAAAGCACAGGAGAGGAATTAGATAGACTGACACAGCAAGTGGAGTAATGGGGGCAGGTGTGTTCAAAACAGTGAGACTGGCTCAGGATAAGACAGGGTTCAGAGCTATTGGACATAGAGTTGCTATGAGTCATAGGCAATTAATAACAACATACCAGTTGGGGAGATGGAAATGATGCAAATATATGAATAAAAAAAGCTTAAGATTGTTATCAACTTTATGCCATAAACCAGTAGTTTTCAAGTAATAATATCTAGACCCCCAGAGATCCTTAAGGCCCCCTCCCAGGAGAATATAAGTTTCAAATTCCTGTCATGATAATATTAGGATGTTAGTGGCCTTCTTGTACTGCTGGTAATTATCAGATAGATTTAAAAGCAATGGTGGCTAAGGGAACTCTGGTGGCCTAGTGGCAAGAAGCTGCACACAATCCCAGAGGTATGCGGTTTGAATCCACCAGACGCTGCGCCAGAGAAGGAGGGGCCATCTCCTCCTGCACCAGTCAGATCTCATTTGACGATGCACACACACACACACACACACACACACGCACACACGCACAGACACACACAGCAGTGGTGGCTAAAACTTAGTTTCTTAGTACAAATCAGGCAGTGACAGTAAGTTAGATTTGCAGCCATGGCATGCTTCACCATCACACACAATAAAAATACATCTAAAATGCCAGTTTCAAAGAATCATCCTTAATGAGGCATTAAGAATTATTTTTTAGTAATTCTTGATCTATTTGTTGTTGTTATGTGCTGTGGAGTCACTTATGACTCATAGGAATCCTAGGCACAATTGCTCTGAACCCTGCCCTATCCTGTGCCAATCTCACTGTCTCTGACACACCTGCCCCCATTATCCTGGTGATTGTGTCAATCCACCTCTTTATCTACTATCTCTTTATTATATGGTTTAGTAATTGTTCATATTCTACAAGAAAATGTGTCAGCATTTGAAAAAAAATCTATATAACTTGTTGAATTCATATTTGCCATGGACCAGATACATGATGTTACAAAAACCAGACATGGTTAAAGAGATCCTCTCAAGATAAACAATAGCTTTCAATGTAATAGAGTATGAAGAGTGTCGATATTATTTTACATCCTATTGCAACTAACCTTTAAGAAAGGTTAACTAGGGAACTCCCACATGTCCAGTTTGGTTGTACCTCTAAGGAAGAACCTGCCACATGTCCAGTTTGAGTATAATATTAAGTTCCCTTGGTAGTGCTTGAAATTGGTGAGTAACTAAAAGGCTTGTAACTTTAATCTACAGAACCAATCTATGGACAATAGTTCTAACAAACTGTAATAAAAAAAAATACTATGAGCAGTTCTATTCTGTAATACGCAGGGTGTCACTTAGTCAGAACCAACCCAATGGTGACAAGTTTTTCTGGTTTGTTTTTGCTAAAGCAGCATATCTCCAGATTATCTTAAAAGGTTTTGAAGATGTTCCTTCCTATTCTAACTTTGTATATTTGTAAATGTGGACTTTCTTTACAGACTTTAGCCAGTATAAGAGGCTGTAGGGAGAATTGGACAGGAGAGTCAAATGTCTTCCATTTAAAGATTAAACAGACTATGATATAATAGAGATTAGAAATTAATCTTAGATAGTGCAGAGATTTTAAAAAGAAACAAAGTAATGCCACTCTTCTCTTAATTTTTTTGCTTAAAAATATATTTGTTTTTTATACATTTTATTATTTTTTAAAAATAGCTATGCTACTGTGTAATAGGTCTACAAGTAGTGTGATTAACAAATACCATAATAATTATTTTCAAACATTCTCACATGTAATGTCTAATATGGTAAATATTGATAGATACAACCAACCGCAGTGAAATTTCTTATTCCCTGAAGCCTCTTTTTATAGTATTTATGATAAAGTTGCTGCAAAGTCAGGCACAGGTTTTCAATGTATATAGTGTCAGATAACAGAGAAGATGGCATAAACTGTGCTTGTTCTTTTTTTTTTTTAGTACAAAACAAACATCCTCTTTGATAAATGATAAGATGGTAAACCAAATCATTTTTAGCATCAGTGCCTACATAAACTTTTTATCAGATTTATATTGAAACCTATTCTGCTTGTTCCACATTTGAGCACAACTGTCCACAGGGGTTCCAAAGCTGAAATCTTTACCAAACTAGAGTGTCACATCATTTTCCCATGGAGTGGCCAATGGATTCAAACTACAAACCTTTATTTTTTCTATTATTATTATTATTAGTGTGTGGGGGTGTGTACCATCAAATCAGATATAACTGGTAAAGGAGGAGTTTGCCCCTCCTTCTC